CTGTTAGTGCCATGAAGGCAGGAACCATGTGTGTTCTAGCTCTTGTTGAGATCTCCAGGTTGACATAGCTTCTTCTCTTTCTTGCTAGATTCCTACCATTTTTACCTTTCTACTCAAATTATACTGTTCAAAGTAATGGACCTACTCATTGCTTCCACTGCTATTGGATACACAGAATTGCCATCAGTGAAATAAATAAAAAATTAAACTAAATGTCTTCACTTGTCCTTTTTCAAACACCATTTTGTTCTGTCTGTCCATCTAGGTTATTATGGAAGAATGGCATTAGTTTTAGTGGATGTTTTTAATTTGCCCCATTTCAAAATATAAGCTACATACAATGAAATACTTTTTACCAATGTTTAACATGAAATGGATTAGATGTACAGAAAGAGTAAGATTTCCAGGAAGTAGTTTTTAAAAAGGTAATACATGACAATATTTCAAATACAAAACAAAATTATATATTTTATACACAAAATCATGTAAATCTCCAGAAAACAGTTTGAAAGGGAATACCCTAATTTGACAACAGTGGGTACCTCTTGAGGAAAGTGGAATGGAAGGGAGATCTTTTAGTTAATCTTTATTGTTTAAATATTTTATCACACAAAAAAATAACAACAACAAGAAAAAGGAGAGGAAAATGAACAGGAGGGAGGGGAGATGAAGTAAAGCAGCCCAAAGCAGAGATCTTTTGAGGCAGAAAATTCCTCTTTTGTGCATACATTTGTCAAGAGGAAAAGAAATTAGGAAATTTGTCTGAAGAAAAGAAGGATCTAGCTTTATTATTATTATTTTTCTTATAGTTACTGAAATTGTGAGTGATAAAGAATTGCAATGAATCATGAATCTTATTTCCCATTTTAAAGTAAAAACTCCTATTGCAGACCTGGGCCTGCCTTAGAATAGCTCTGAGTTCAGACTAACAATTTAAAATTCTAGGTGCATGGTCTTCCAGTTCCAAAGGAGGGGAAAAAATACTTACACCTAAAAAGGATACTGGAGGAGACAAATGAGAAATCTTAGCAAAAGAACTGAACTCTTGAATTTTATGTAAATATAAGATAGAATGTCCTGATGTAATCTCACATACACATACTGACAGACATTGGGTATCTGTTGTGTAATGTTTACCAATTTTAATGTGCAAATTAAATTGTTTAGGGTAATCTTGCAACATCCTGAGTCAATATTACAGAAAACTAACAATCAGTTCTTTCAGTTTCAGATTTCAAAAAGCCTCCTTTCAGATTTAAATCAAATAGACAACCATTATTTTTAGTGCTTAAAAACACAGTGCTGTCCCTTTGGAAATCTCCAATTAGTAGCACCATTGTCTAATTAGGTGAAAACGATCATCTAAGAAAGTCTATCAGTTGTTCTAAAAGTAAGATATTATAAATTCAAGTGTATTTCCAGATGCCAGTGAATTGCTGGAAAGCTGCAAGCTTAACTTTCCGCTCTGATAGAGTTTTAAAAGAGGTCAGAGTACGTTTTACCATAGTGTCTAGCAATGTGAGTTTATTCAGACCTTTTGGCAGACATTCCTGCACACTCAAGCTAAATCAGTGAATCATCCATTGTTGGCCAGCTCCACTTTCAGTTGCTAAGAGATTTTTCAAGCATACTAAGGTTTTGTTCTAGATGGTCTGTAGAAGGGAAAAGTACATCAAGTTTTAAAATGCCTCATCTTTCCTAAATTAGTAATTAAAACTTTGCTCAGAGTTTTAATTTTGGGGCAATGGGAAAGTCTATGTGCAGCTAGAGGACTTTCCACTTGGGAAAATACACAAGAAAATGTCCTGCCTGTAACTCTTTAGAAATAGTGTGTAGAGGAAATGGAAATATTTAAAAAGAGGACACAGACACCAAACACAAAAACTTGGGGAGGAAGGTCTAAACTCTTTAAAAGAAATATAACATGTGTTTCTTTTAACGTTTCAAATGAATTTTCTTTAATATTAGTAAATGTTCTCTAATTTTTCTATTCCTGTTTGAGTCATAAAGACCTTTTTTGTAACTTAATACATTATTTTAAAGGTTTGATATGTCTTTGAAAATATAGAATAAAACCATGCCCAGTGGCATGCACTTGTAATCCCAGCAACTTGGGAGACTGAGGCAGGAGGATCACATAAATTCAAGGGCAGCTTCAGCAAGTTAGTGAGGCCCTAAGCATCTTAGTGAGACCCTGTCTTAAAAAATAAAAAGGGATGTGGTTCGGTGGTTAAATCCTCCTGTGGTCAATCCCTAGTACCAAAAAAGAAAGAAAGAAAAAGGAAGGAAGGAATATATAGAATAAAAATTTTTTAATGAATGTTTATAGTATAGTCTGCTCTCTATTGTTAATAACAATGTATTGTATACTTGGGAATTGCTAAAATAGTAGACATTTAGTGTTCTCACCACAAATAAATAAGATGGTATTATACATGTTAATTAGCTTGGTTTAATCATTCTATCACTTATACATATTTCAAAATATAATGTTATACCATAAATATATATGATTTTTTTATCTGTCAATTTAATTTTTTAAATAATTTTATTTATTTATTTTTTATGTGATACTGAGGATTGAGCCTAGTGCCTTACATGTGCTAGGCTACCACTGAGCCACAACCTTATCCCTTTATCTGTCAATTTTTAAAAATAAAAATTTTAAAATGAAATTTATTATGTTCTATACAATAAACATATGATAGTTTAAAATATGTAATAGTTTTACTTATGTTCCTTTCGAACTTGGTGATGATTTCACATTATTGAGAGTCCCACAATTCATCATGGATATTAATCTTTCATTTTGATGAAAGAAAAGGGAAAATCTGGACTATGAATTTAAGAAGAAAGATTGAGTGTAATGTATCTTAACTTAAAAAACAAGATTTTTTTAAGCATATAAGATTTAGATTTAATGATAAAGTAAACTTCTCATAATATGGAATTGTATTTCAGAAACGTCTAATGAAGACTTTATGAAATAATCTAAAAAGAGTTTTATAAATGGAATGTGGACTTTGGAGTTAGACAGGCTTGGCCATTCCAAGTTGTTGATGGTGTGACCCTGGACAAGTTAGTCACCCTGTTTGGGCCTAGACTTCCACGTCCATGAACATAATGCACACCACATCAAATAGCTGTAGGATTCAAGTGAAGAAACACAGGAGCTCTGGCACATAGTGACTCTTGGATGAATGCCACTTCTCAGCTTCTCTCAAACTGTTGGAGGCTGATACCAGTATGCTCTCAAATGCTCACAACCAAACCCTGTTTGCTTTAAGTTGGTGACATTAAGTGTTTTGTTTCACTTCTTAATTCAACTGAGATGTATTCAAGTGAGTAGGAGAGAACATTCGTCTCATGTCGGGGCTTGGGATAAGAGGACATGGAAGAGCCTTGTGGTTCCTTGCAGAGAAACAAAACATTTGTGACTCTTGGGTTCTTGCCTAGCTCTCTCTCGCTCTCTCTCGCTCTCTCTCTCTCTCTCTCTCCCTCTCTCCCACTCTCCCTCTCTCCCCTCTCCCCCTTCTCTCTCTTTAAGAAAGAAAGGACCCCGCTTTCTCTGAAGACTTCTATTCCAGAGTGCTGTCTCCAATCTACTACTCACTGCTACAAGACAGGGCTACCTCAGGGCACTGTAGATCCAGCCAAGGCCAGCTGTGCAGCAGGGAATGGACTGTGTGCCTTGGTATTAGCCCTGCTGCAGTTCACCCAGAACATGACTTTTTAAGACTTGAACCAAGCTTAAAGAAAAATAAGAGTGACCCTATTTATATACTCAAGCTTCCTGACACCTGTGTTTGTTTAAAGGCAACATCTCCATGTCTGTACTGACAACCCGATAATGCACACCCTTTACAGAACCAAGTACCGTGTTTTTACAGTAAGTTTTTTAATATCAGAGAAAAACAAAATCTCTTCCTCAGGTGTTTGGCTATTTCCTTGTGTAATTTTAGATACAGTTTAAGCCCTATTTCTTTTAAGTAATCTTGTTATTTTAGATGGTTGACTAAATGAAATCATACCCATTTGGACTGTCTAATTAAACTGAAGGGAATTACTAGAATGTTTGCTCTCAGAGTAATGTGAAGTGGCAGCTACATCGAGCTGGTCGAGAATCTGGTAGGTCTGCATAATAAATGGAAGGCCTCATATAACTTAGTGGTACCAGCAAAAGAAACATGTCTGTGCTGATTGAGAGAGGGACGATGACAGAACAAGACCGTAATACTTGTTGTTGTAAATGTTCACCTGCATTTTCCTGATTAGCTTTATTTGTGACTTCTAATGTATAGTTCTTAAAGGAAAATCCCATAAACTTTGTATGAGGGCGCTTAAAAATATCCTAGAAATTTATTAAAACCGATTATAGTAAGATTTCTTAACCTATTAAAATAGCAGAAAGAGGAACAGAGTTATGATCTAAGATCTAGAAATCATTTTGTATTAACTAATATGTTTTATTGTCAGCAATTACAATGTCAGGCTCTCCCAGGGCCGGTTATAGAGTTTAGTCATTCCCTGGCAAAAATGAAACAAAAGAAAATCCAAGGAAAAGGAGTTTAATGGCTAAAGAAATAATGTTCCCCCCAAATATAGAAAATCAGCATGAACTGACAAATTGTGGTGGTGGGGTTCAATGACAACACTATATGAAACAACTCCTGTGGTTTTCTGTTAGTTTCCCTTTGTAATTATAACTTGTATAAGTCAACTTGAGAAAGAGGGAAGGGAAAAGGGGGAGAGAAAGGGAGGGAGAGTTTTCCTCACTTTCTAAGTCATGGTTCAAAAATGTGTTATAAAACACCAAGAACGGAAAAGCCATTACGTAGAATATAAAGAAATACTTGAGTCTACAATACCATTGAACTCTTGGATTCAGTTTCAGCAGACATGCTCTGTATTCCCACAAGTGTCTGGAAAAATTAACTCCTGTTTTTTTCTGTCTGGAGTTGCAGTTAGTATTATTATTTGCTCCCTGGCTCAATCCGGGTCAGACTGTTCTGCAGTAACACAGGTGGATGTTGAAACAGGGAATCTGTTGAAAAGATTGCAGAGAACTGCTTCCCTAATGCAGTTTTGGATGGCAATTTGATGGCAGTCAGCTATGGTAAGGAAGCTCAGCAATACCTTCTAGAACGTGGTCGTTCAGAGTTTGTCAGTGCAGTCCTGTGGGCAGCGGTTCCATTTGTAATGGCTCCTCACAAACTGGTGGCATCACTAAGAAGTGGGTTCTAGAAATGGAGGTCATTGAATGCTTAATTCTTGGGAATTGTATTGTTGATCTGCCTTTTCTGGATTAGCCCTATTTGTGAATTACAATATGTAGCTCTTAAAGGAATATTCCATAAAGTTGTGTGTGTGCGTATATGTGGTCTTGAGTTATTGTAGAAACTTGTTAGAAAAGCCCAGTTTCTTATGTAAATTTCTTATATAAATAGCAGGAGGAAAATAGCTAGCATTTGAGATATAGAAATTGTTTTGTATTGACTAATGCGTTTTATTGTCATCAATTACATTGCTAAAATGTAACAAGTGATTTTGCTTAGAATACATGGATCCATTTGTAAGTAATCACACAAGGGAAACTATATGTTATACATTCTATCCATTGAATCATTTTTTTTTTTAGTAAACAACTTGACATAACATCCATTTAACAACTATGTTAAATTATGGATTAATGCTCCAAAATAAAATTTGAACTGATTTAATACATAATTCAGTATGAGGGGGGAAAATAGATCTCTTCCCAGCTGAGGTTAGACATAATTTTTTTCTTTTGAGAATAACTTATTTTCCCCTTAATAAGTTTAGGACTTGCCTGAACCACAGCCAGCCTTAAGAATCCTTTGTTCAGAAATGTTTAAGGTTAAATTGACTAAGGAGCAACTTGGGGGTTGAGAAATAGATCAGCTTTTCAGTTTCTGACTTTAGACTATTTTTAAAGTAAAGCGCTGAGAGTTCCAATTGAAAAATTGCAAGTGCTCCAGGACACTGTGCCTGGAAATAAGATTCCTGAAGAGTAGAGCTTAGGGATGTTTAGGCGGCCCTTAAAGAAATGAGCCTTCACAGTACAATTAAAGTACGGTGTGTCTTGCACGTTTTGAATGGTTCTTCTCAGACTTTTCTTGGATATGACTATTCTATTTCATTTTACCTTTTTCCGTAATTCTGTTTGCTAAACCTAGGAATTTACAGGTCTAAGGGAGAAATTCCCTAAAATTGCTCTCATTACTCACCAGATCAAACACTAGCAGGCCCTCAGGGAGGGTCCCAGCCCAGGGCCAACACACACAGATCCATTCTTATCACTGTGAACAGACCATCCTCCAGGGGTGTGCATATAGCCTTCTCAAGAGAACAGGTAGCTGTTGAGGTTAAACTAATATTTTTGGAACAAAAATGAGAATTCTGAGAAGATTTTTATTAGTTAATTGTATTTCCTAGAAATGAAACTTTAGGTCAGCTGTATTTACCAGAAAATCCACAAAGCACTTTTGTATCATAGCTTTTGTGACAGAAATTACAGGAGTCAGGGGGAAAAAAAACCAGATTAATCTGAGGCTAAAACACTGTAAGAAATTTATATATACTATATTTTCAAAAATATTTTGTGTATAAGAAAATGTGGGACATACTCTCATTGCTATAGATGACTCTTAATTGAAGAAAAAAACCTTGACATTTTCCCTACTGGAATAGAGAAATGAGGTGGATTTTTGAAGACTATATTTTCAGGACACATTTAAAAAAGGACGAGGTATGAAACAGTTTATGAAAATGTTTCCTTTCAAGTTAGATACTAATAATACTTCTTTTTTCAAATTTACATATAAATGAGTATCTGATTCTACAATTGAATGAAAGATATTTTAAAATAGCTCAAAAGCTGCTTTTCTTAACATTCAAGGTAAAATTACCTTTCAGCCTCATTGCAACTCTTTTTTCTTTAAGCTAACTATTAACCATACCATCATGTATGTGCTGTTTAAATTCTCTGTATTTGATTTATTTAGCGAGTCTGCAGTGCTCCCAGAAAGTGAATAAATCCAGGTTGAAAAAATAAATGTCAGTAATGAAAGATTTTATTTTTCATGAATTTCTTATTTTTGTAGTAGGCTTTCTTTGGAGCTCTGTGGTCTTGGAAAAAGTGAAGGATTTCTGTAATTTTGTCATTAGACAATGTCAATGTAGTTATAGCTACTTTTAAACACTAGAATGCTATTTCTATGCAGCACCAAAATTTAATGGCAAAAGAGTGCAGTCTACTGTCCTCAGAAGTGTTCACTTTTTAGCCCAGTGTTCTGGGATTGTATAGATTAAGCTTTAGAAACCGCAGACTTCTGCCTGTTATGTATTGGAAGAAGGTAATCACATCATGGGTGTGGATCAAATTTCTGATTACTTTTTATGTTTTTCATTTATGCACCATCATTTTGCAGAAGTGATAGAAGGCAGCCTAGAAAGATATATAAAATATGAGGTACACATAATCAAAAGATGGGTATAGGAGGAAAATAAGAATAATTACCATTAGGTAGAGTCAGGAGGGCAGTTTGTGACAGCAGGATCTGCATACTAGGTGGTCAAAGATTCTACTCTAAACCTTCTTGCTTTCAGTATAGAAGTGAGTTTGGTAGATGTTTCAGTCTATGAAGACTCAAAAGTACAGGCAGTTTGGTTACTGAGGAGAAGGGAAGGTATGCTTACTGCTAAACTCAGAGAGGCATTTCTTCCCAGGGACCCCATGTGGACAGTGTGGGTGAAGTAAACAGAATTCAGTATCACAGCAGGTGAACTCTCTTCATTTAGGTGTGCTGGAAGAACAGGCCATGTCCTGAAAGCTTGGCTGAGATACAACAGAAGAAGGCCAAGAGTCTCCATCCAAAGTGGAAAAAAGTATCAAAAACCTGCCTGTTCACTTGATACATAGACAAAAAAACAAAGCAAAACAACACAAAAACAAACAAACAAAGAAAAAACTCAGACGTTCACAGCCCCACCATTCTCTTTAATGAGGCTGGCATAGAGACAATCTCAAAAAAAAAAAAAGGTATTCATCTCAATAAAACATCTATTTAACTTGGTGTTGTTGTCTAGTGTTGTCTCCAAGATGAACCACTTGAATTGTACCACCCAAGCAACTAAACTGATTTAATTTCTCCCTCATTATTACTTATATGACGAACAAACAACAAAATAACTCCAATTTTAGGATATATGAATCACAGGCACCCTTTCTTTTTTTGTTGTTATTATTAGCTATTAAATTCGTCTTATCCATCCATTCCTAAAGAGCCTGTCAATATGTTTCTACACATACACACACACAGAATATTTCTGACACCAGATATGTGGGATTGTGACCACACTGATCAGTACTCTAACACCAGCTGGACATCCGGTAACTCAATTCAGTTCTAACATCATCTACCTGTTAACAGTAGATCCCATAAATTCAGGGCTCTGTCCCACAAGACTTCCCTCATATCAGATGCTGATCATAAGCCTAGACTTCTTGAACTTCTGAAAAAACAGCTATAAATTGGGAGGTCCCTAGGACATCCTGCTGAATATTTCATAACTTTGTAGGAATGGCTCATGGAACTCAGGGGAACACTTTACTTACATTTACCCATTTATTATAAAAGGATACAATTTAAGAACAGCAAGATGGAAGAGATGCATAAGGCAGGGTATGGAGGTGGGTGTCCAACTTCCATGTCTTCTCTAAGCATGGCACGCTCCTAGAATCTCAGTGTATTCAACAACCATGAAGCTCATCAGATCTTGTTGTTTAAGAGTTTATGTAAAGTTTAATCTCTGTCCTCCTACACTGCCCACTTCCTGGAGGTCAGCGGGTAAGGCTGAAAGTTCTAACCCTTCAATCACTTGGGTCTTTCTGGTGACCAGCCCCATCCTAAGGCTATCTAGAGATCCTACCTTGCCACCTTATTAATATAAACCCAGGTGCAATGGAAAGGATTTTGTTATGAATAACAAAAGAGACTCTTATCACTCAGGAAATTCCAAGGGTTTTAGGAGCTCTGTGCCAGGAACTGGAGGCAAAGACCAAATTTATTTCTTATAATTCCACAGAGATAAAAGAAATAATTATATAAAGAATACTTGTCCTTCTGCTATCAATAGCAGAAGACCAAGCATCTTTTTCATCCAAAAACATTATTGGATCAGTAAAAACCATGCTGAAAAGAAATTAGAATTTTCTCACAATCTTCTATTTTTTTTGTATCCTTTCTTTCCTCTCCTTAAAAAAGAAAAAAAATTGTACATGGAATGCAGGAGGCAAGAGCCATTTATCTCCTTTCCTCATATTTCCTTAAAGGAAACCATTGCCGTGAACCACTCAGGTCCTTTTATCCATAGTAGATGACTAAGGTTGTTGGCCAGCCATACTTCTGAGTGAATTGGTAGGTGGCTTCACTTCAGAAGTAGGAAACAGATTTCACCATTTTCTCTTTGCTCAGCAAAACATCCTTTGCCCTTCTGTTTCCTGTTGGCCTATGGAATGCCGTGGGACAGAAGGGTAAGTAGAGGACCATACTATTGAGTTTTTAAATCAGATTCACCCTGCTTGCAGATCACATTGTATTCAGTTTTAACTGAAAGGCAGGAGACCTTCTCTAATTTGGCCATTACCAGGGAACTCTGGATGAAGCTTATGTCTGACCCCCATTTTTCAGTGTCTCTTCCTAATCAGCTATAAGATGGGAAAGAGGAGGGGGCATGACTCTGACATCCCTGACCACCGGCAAATAGTGCAAAGACCCTGGGGAAGTACTGGGCTTCGCCTAACATAGAAGAATAACAGTATTATTCCTTTCCTTCCTTTGACTTTAAGATATAAAACTGAGTGGAGTTTCTTTTTTCTACAAGTAATAAAGATGCTTCTCTTTTTTGTTAGAAATTAAGAAGTCTTATAGAAATGTTGCCGTTATCACTGAATTAGATTAGCATAACTGTAATAGAGTTTTTAGTATTTTCCTAATTGTGATCCCAGTGTGTGAAATTTTCTTCCTAACTCCCTACTTCCATTGTCATTCCATTCCCCTTTGGGGAACTTCATTTAGAACATGAGTTCCCTGA